TAATATTTTAATAATAATAATAATAATAATAATAATAATAATAATAATAAATTGAAACGGAAAAATCTTTTTCTTTTGATAAAATAATTCGTTAATAAAAATTAAATTAAAAAAATTTTTTTTTTTTTGTTTTCTATTAGAAATATAAATAAATCATATAGAAAAATTTAGTAAATTTTGTTTTTTTTTTTTTTTTTTTTTTACATAGAAATTATCGTAGAAAAAAACGATTAGTCGCCATTTTCTTTTTTTTTTTATAAATAATTTACCCTTATCGATTATCGATTATTTTAACATAATTAATTATCATCATCATTAACTTGATTTAATAACGTAGGTAGATTATTTTTACTTTTTTAATTTTTATACGTGTCGGTAACAGACGTTTAGTAAAATTTAAACTTTTATAATAATTAAAATTATTTTATTATTATTATTAAAATTTCATACCTGGAAGGTATGAATTCGATGAGGATTAAAACCTTTTTAAAAAAATTTTCCCTTTAAATTTCGCCTTAAAAATACTGTTTAGGCAACACGCTAAACAGGGGGTTAAAAATTTTTTTTTTCCTTTTTAAAAAAAAAATAAATTTCAATGGATTTAAGTAATTTTTTCTTTTTTTTAATAATTAAATTAGTCAAAAGCAAAGAATCCCTCATGATAAATAATAATAATAATAATAATAAATTTATATAAAATATATAAACATATTTTCCTTTTTAAATTTTATATCATGTGTATTAATTTAATCAATGATTCGGTTGAATTTTTTTTTATAAAAAAAACTTTGAGTTTCTTGTTTTTTTGTTAAAAGAAAAAAAAAATTTATTCTTTACATTGTTTTAAAAGAAACTGAATGAAGATAAAAAGTTTTTTTTTTGTAAAAGAAAAAAACTTTTTTTTTTTTTATTTTTATTTTAGAAAAAGATAATTTGAAGGTTTGACACCTGGAACATATTAAAAATAAAATCCTCACTTAAACAATTTTTTGTTAAATCCATTTTGATTTTGAAATAAAATGTGAAAAAAAGTATGAAAAAAAAACTTTTTAAGATTATTATTATTATTATTATTATTATTATTGGATATATATAAATATTTATTTGAGTGAAAAATTAAATTATGAAATTTCAAAACAAAAATAGTTTTTTCCCCATTCCTTATTATTAATAATTTTTAAAAAAACTATTTGCTTACCTTTTTCTTTTTGCAGTAGATTATCATTAAAGTATTTCTTTGATATTTTTGTTTACAACTAAATTAATTTATTTTAAAAGCATCCACCATGAGTACAACAGAGTTCCATAAAGTTTTTCCAGTCAAATTTCCTCCTGAAAAAAAAGAAAAAAAATTTGACCTTGAAATTTTGAAATTAATATAGAAAATTAATAAATTTCCATTATCAATTTTAATTAATTACATGTAATAAACCCCTCGTAGGGAAAATGGGGAAAATTAATATTTTTCGGTAAAATAATCAATTTTTAATTTTAATATTAAATGTCGTTAGGAAAATAATTTATTCTGAAATGAATGCAAAAATTCAAATTCTATTTAATCGTTACGATGGCACACGCCCAAGGGGAATTTATACGTTTTTGTGTTTATCGATTTATCCGTTAGAGAACGCTTTCAAAAAAAAAAAAAAACAATTTAAAAAAATTTCCCTGCACCTCTCGTGCAGACCTGAAGTTTAACGTCTATTCTTGAATGCCAAAAAAACCGTTAAATTTTAGAATCTAAGCTGAGAGTTGTTTGTTTGTATTGATTATATATACGATTTTGAACGTGCATGTATTTGAAAAAACGAAATGAAACCATCGTAAGTATTAATTTATCGTATTTTTTTCCCGTAATTCTAATTTTTTAAACGATAATTATTGTAATATTGAGTGAAAGTTTACGGTTATATGTCAAACGCCTGTGTTGTTTACTATTTGTTTTTATGGTAATGTATTTTTTTGGTAAATAGATTGAAAATATAAATTATTTAAACGATTTTATTGTTATTTTTAGAAGAAGTAAACAATTGAAAAAAACTCCTGGCAAAAGTCGTTCTGGATCATTCAAAGATGAACCGGTTGAAGTGTATTGCAGAATTAAACCAATTCCAAATACCTTAGAAAGCTGCTTGAAATTAATTTCTTCAAAAACAGTCCAATTATTTGCTCCTGAAGGTTTTTCAGGTTACAGAAATGGGTTAAATGGCAAAGAAATTCAGTATACATTCAAACAAGTTTTCGATGATAGTTATTCGCAGAAAGAAATTTTTGATACAGTAGCTTTTCCTTTAGTACATCAACTAGTTAATGGAAAAAATGGTTTATTGTTTACCTATGGAGTGACTGGTATTTTATTAAATTATTAATATGAAAAATGTTAAACTGACCAACATTTTTTCACACATTTAAAATTATTTTTAAGGAAGTGGAAAGACTTATACCATGAATGGTGAACATCATGATGGGGGTATTATGCCTAGGTGTATTGATGTAATTTTTAACTCGATATCTCACTACCAGGCTAAAAAATTTGTTTTTAAACCTGACAAAATGAATGGCTTCGAAATACAAGATGAATCCGAGGCACTTTTGTGTTGTCAAAATGAGTTAGGTTATTTAACACCCGGTCCAAAAAATCCTAAAACGCCTAAAAGGTAAATTAAATTTTCAAATTCTTATTTTTATCACTACCACAGTTATTATTATTGATGAATAAATTATTTTTGTCTCATTTTAGGAAAGATTGTTATGGAGATGGAGATGCTCTTCAAAACCGAACCCCAGATGATAATAAAGTCGAAAGTTTAGATGAAGAAAATATGTATGCAGTATTTGTAACATATATAGAAATTTACAATAATAATGTTCATGATTTATTAGATGATTCTGTCGAGGATCTCATAACAAAAAAGTAAGAAACGTTTTGCACTTAACATTTTTTTATATATTTTTATTTCTTTTGTAATTTTCGGTGGAAAAATTAATTAAATATAATGTTGCAGACTGCAAAATAAAGTTATAAGGGAAGATGGCAATAGAAATATGTATGTTCATGGTGTAACTGAAATCGAGGTTAAGAGTCCTGATGAAGCATTCGAAGTATTTTACAAGGGTCAGAGAAGGAAGAGAATGGCTCATACTAATTTAAACGAGGAATCGAGTAGAAGTCATTCTATTTTTACTATTCGCTTAGTACAGGTTAGTTTTTGATGAATATTCTATTCAAATCAGTTGTTGAATAAATTTAAAAGAAAAAATTTTTTTTTCATTAGGCACCAACCGAAGCTCTTGAGGAGCAGGGATCAGTTTTGAAAAAATATTTAGTAGTAAGTCAATTATCTCTTGTAGATTTAGCAGGAAGTGAAAGAACTAATAGAACAAAAAATACAGGGCAAAGGTTAAGAGAAGCAGGTAAAGTATGGGGTATGAGATTTTCGCATGTAGTGAGACACTAAGTGAAATATTTATCACATGCAATTATATTTTAGGTAATATAAATAACTCACTGATGTGTTTGAGAACATGTTTGGAAATATTAAGAGAAAACCAACAAAATGGTAGTAATAAAATTGTGCCATACAGAGACTCAAAATTAACTCATTTATTTAAGAATTATTTTGATGGTGATGGACAAGTTCGAATGATAGTTTGTGTAAATCCCAAAGTTGAAGATTATGATGAAACAATTGTGAGTTAATTACTTTTTTTAAACTCGAGATCAACTTTAAATTTTGGCCATTATTATTATTTCCCCTCCCCCCCCCCAAAAAAAAAAACAACCAGATATTTTTTGAAATAAACAAAAAAAATAAAATTTTTTGACTTACCTTATTTTTAGCACGTTTTAAAATTTGCTGAAATGACTCAAGAAGTTCAGGTACCTCGATTGGTTACTCCGAGACAGGACTTTTGCGTGACGCCTGGAAGACGTAGATATAACCAATACATGAAGAAAACTCTGGAAGAAATAAATTCTAATACTGAAGTTAGAGAATTGAATTTTAACGAACCTATAACGGTTAATGCTGTGCCTGTTGTAACTTCACCATTTCCTTCTTTGTTTTTGTTAAATTACGATGATGAAATGACTTTGGAAAACTTAAAAGTATACCTGCAGCAAAGATTAGCTAAAAGGAATGAACCTCTTGAAAAATTAAACGAGTGTAAGAATGTTTTGGAATTTATTTTAAGGTTTTTCCTCGCGAAAAACATTATTGATTCGTGATTTTTTTTTTTTTAGTATATCAAAAACTCAGACAAGAACTTGTAAAGAGAGAGGGTGAATTTTTAATAATGAAACAAGAAATTGTCGGCGTTAAAGGAACTCTAGAACAAGAAAGGAAAAAGGTTATTTAACACATTCGTGAGGATTTAAATTGTTTTTTTTAACAATTCATTAATTTTTTTTTTTTTTTTTTAACAGTCGGCAAATTTAGAAAGTCAATTGGGATACTGTCAAAACGAGCGATTGGAATTATTGAAAAAAGTTGAAGAGAAAGAGCAGATAAACAGAGAACTGCAACAGAAAACGGAAGATTTGAACATGCTCATAAGTCAAAAAATTTTAGACAAAGAAAAAGTTAAAGAAAAATGTGTGAGCAAAATAGCTGCGGCCAAAGAGAAATTGGCCAGAGAAATGAAATTGAAATTGAACAAAGAAAGGGACGAATATCAGGTGGGATTTTTATATATTTACACGAAAATAGTTTTCCCGAAGAAAACTTTCGGATGGATAATAATGAGGAAAAAAATTATTTCAGACGAAAATGAAAGATCAACAAGAAAAATTTAGAATGATTCGGGAATTTTTAGACGAAGCCACTCCCAAGCTGACTTCTCGTAATTACGGACTAAGAGGACCCGAAAACACTCCCGTGACTCCGCGTTCTGCTGTCAACACTCACGGAACCTTTTACATGCCACCGAATTTAACGGAAACTCCTACTCACGGCCACACATTTAAAAGAGTATAAAAATCGATTCCACGACGCTGCTGCTGCTGCTGCTGCAAGAAAGGTTTATTATATTACATTCCGATTAAACCTTTTCCTTCTTTTGTAGGGCATCGCTGTGAGTAATCCTCGACATAGAAGATCTCGTTCGGCTGGTTGCGGTGATGTTTGGTTGGATCACAAACCACCAACAGCCGTTGAATTGAACACGGTTTTTCAGCCGAGCATGAAAAGAAGAAAATCTGTTACCAAACTCACAGACGTGAAAGACATCGTCAATTCCAAGACGTCTAAATATTGTCTAACGACTCAAGAGCAAGATACAGATGGCGAACTCGAAACTAAATTATACAAAGTAAAAATTTATATTTTTTTTTTTTTTTTTATCCCCTTTCGACGCCATGACGATGACGATGATGATGATCATGAAAAAAAAAAAAAAAAATTTAATTATTATTTATTTGTCAGGGTGATGTTATTCCGACAACCGGCGGTGGAGCACAAGTTATACTCAACGACGTTGAACTTTTAAAACAATTGTCTCCGACATCGGAATTAACGTCTAGAAAAAGAAGTTTCATCGAAGAGAGTAATGGCGTTACGGAATCAAGATGTGCCATTTCCATCGAAGGCCACAGCAAGAGAACTAAAACTTAAATATATATAAATAAATATATATTTGTTATTTTAATAATATTATTATTATTATTATTTTTAAACGAGTTTTAATTTTTTTTTTTCTACGAGTTTTTTTTTTAAATATATTTTTCCCCTAATTTAAGAAAAAATATTTAACCTAATTTTATAAGTTTTTAATAATTTGTATTGTTTTTAATATTTAATAGGTTGTAAGATTTTTAATTTGTATTATTTTTTTTTTTATTGCAATAATAAAATAATGTCATATTATCAAAAAAAAAAAAAACAAAAAATTGACATTAATTATTAATTTTTATTTAAAGGAAAATCCCTTCCCCCTCCCCCAAAAAAAAAAAAAAAATGTTTTTAAATATAAAATGAAAAAATTTAAATTTAAATTTATTATTTTGTTTATATTAAAAATTCCAACAATTATTGTTAAACGCACGCACTCACGCACGCAGACACGCGTACACGCACACCCGCACTAAGGATTTAGAAAAACGTTTGATTTAATAATATTTTAAATTGAGTAATAATGATAATAATGATAATAATAATAATAATAATAATAATAATAATAATAATAAAGAAAAAAAATTAAAATACATTTCGATTTAATTTATATTTATATATATATATATAATGCTAATACCATTAAAAATACGAAGAAAATTTTTTTTTTTTTAAATATCTAACGCGAATAATAATAATAATAATAATAAACGGGGGACCGTGAAAATTATTTAATTACAAAATAAAAAATTTATTATCGTAAATATTATTATTATTATTATTATTTATCGATCCGTTAATAAATCTTAAAATTAAATTGAAATTTTTTTTTAAATATTCGTAAAAAGAAAAATTGTGAAGAGTTTTTCTAACATTATTTTGGTGGGAAAAAAAGCAAAAAAATAAAAAATAAAAACATTTTTTCATTATTATTATTATTATTATTATTACCGTTTTAAAAAAATCATTATTATCATTTTTTTCTTTTTTTTTATAATTAATTTTTCTTCCTAATTAAACAAATATATTATAAAAAAATTAATTTTAATTAATATAAAAAAAATTATAAAAAACTTAAAATTTTAATTTTTTTTAAATTAAATCGTTATCATTATCATTATCAATATTATTATTATTTTCTTATTATTATTTATTTAAAAAAAAATAAAGAAAAAATTTTTTTAATTAAAATATTTTATTATGTATATATATATATATATATTATTTACTGATTAAAACAATTATTATTAGTAAGTTTCAATCTTGATACGCAGATACATAGATACATACATACATATATGTATGCATATGCATATAAATTATAGATCTATTTATTAATTATTATTAATTAGTTATTAATTAATTATTGATTAAATTATAACCTAATTAAAATAAAATAAAAAAAAAAAAAAGAAATATAAATATAAATAATCAATTTTTACAATATCAAACTTTTTTCTTTCATTCTTTAATGTACATTATTAACTTTATCATTTTTTTTATCTTATCACCATTTTTAATTAAGGGAGAAGATGATGATGATGATGATGATGATAATAATAATAATAATATATGTTTTACATTCATTACAATTTTAAATTCGATGAAGAAGAAGAAGAATAATTAGAAGCATTCGAGGAATTGATAATATTTTTTCTTTTAATGATAAAAAAAAAAAGAATTTTGGCAAATTTTTTTTTTTTTGTTTTCCTGTTTTTTCTTTTTCTTTTTTTTTTTATTGTTTTCATTTTTTTTGTTTATAATTTTTTTTTTTTTGTAAAATATTACCTACTAATTATTGCCACCGGACGAGCTGTCTAATCTGGCACGTTTTCTGACTCCATTTTCTTCGTTTGTTTCCACATTGCTAAGATCACGTTTTTTGAGCGCTTGCTGAAATTTATTATTTTTAATTTTTTTTTTTTTTTTTCAACTTTTACTATTATAGATTTGAATATCTTGCTTCAAATAAGTTTTTATAATTGTAACTTAATGTAAAATTTATTAAAAGAATGACAATTAAAAAGTTTTTAAATGTTTAATTAAAAGAAATCGAAGAAAAGAAGAGAAAACAACCATAAAGAAGAAAAAATCATTAAAAAACAAAAAATTTTAAAACGATACAAAAAAAAAAATCAATAATAGATAATATATATTATTATTATTATTAAAATAAATAATTATTGTAGATAAAATAATTGAAATTCATTAAATTATAATAAATTTTTAATTTTCTATTAATAATATTTAATTTATGATTTTATTACAAGAATTAAAATACTTTCGACAAGTTTTTAAAATTTAATTTATATATATATTATTTTAACGAATACTCTAATGTAATTAATAAATTTTAATTTATGTACTGTTGTTTTGTCTAATAATAATTCTTATTTAGTTTAAAAAGTAATTAAATATTTAATTAATTAATTAATTTTTTAACGATTGAGTAAAAAAAATAAATATTTAAAATTAATTTTTCATTTTATTTAATTGTTAAAAAAAAAAATTGTAACAAAAATATTTATGTATATATTTATTTATTATTGATTTTTTATTTAATTATAAGAAATAATATGCAAACTTACTTTTTTCTCCCACTGTTGATGAAGATACCTCAAAAGAATATTTGTTTTTTCAGTTACAATCACTGTAAAATATACAAACGAAAAAATTGATATATATTATCATAAATAACTAATAATTTAATTGTTATAAATAAATTAAATTAAATAAATAAAATTTTAAATTAATAAAATAAATAAATTAATTAAATAAATAAATTTTTTTTTGTTTCGAATTCATTTATCGAGAGAAAAAAAAAACGAAATCTTACCTTGTTCCGATGGAAAGTTTTTTGTAGGTAAATAAATAGAAGGCCTCTTTGTGCTTATTTTACTACCATTATCATTGTGGTATCTTGTGAAATTATTTTCATTATATGAGGGAAGGCCTTTTAAAAATTCAGCCCCAGACTAAAAAAAAAAAAATAAAATATCAATATTAATACAATATTAATTTAAAGTCTCGGAAAGTATTAATATGAGTTTTGTTAATTTTCAAAAGTAATGACACACATGACAATAATTAAATTTAAAATAATCTTTAATATTTTTTCAAACATAAGTCAACCAATAAAAAAAAAAAAATGTGAGTTATAATATAATTAGAATTTTATAACATTTAAAAAAAAAAAAAAAAAAAAACCTTGAATTAAAATTAATAATGTGTCATAATGTAATAAAACTTGTATTAATTTTAATAATGTGTAATTTCAACTAAGACCTTTTTATAAATTTGTCTCTTTTTATACGTTAATATAATTTATAAAATGTTAAATTTTAATTTTTTTTTTTCTAAATAAAAATAAATAAATTATAAAAAGCCATTTGAAAAAAACTAAGACAAAAATATACAAGATACGCCCAAGATAATTTAAAAAAGAACAAAAAATTTTGAAAAATTTTATAAAATATTGTCTCTACTAAGACAATATTTTTTTTGTTATTTACATAAATACAATTAGTCAGAAAAAAAAACAATAAAAAATAAATTTGAAAGAGATTTTAATTTAAAACTATTACCATTGTAATGTAACAAAAAAAAGATACTATGAATAAATGTGAATATATATTAATTTTTTTTTTTTCAAGTCAAAAAATGTCACTGTTTTATACTAGTACAATTTGTAAACAATTATCTATTTACACGATTATTTTTATTTTTTTTAAATCCGTTACTACCATAAACAGATGAGATTTTTTTTTAATTTCAATGTAAAATTATTATTTTAATAATTGTATGTCAATGATGCATGAAAATAAAATAAAAAAAATTCTCGATATTTTTAAGTTATAAGGTTAACGTTATTTTATTACCACTCTCTTAATTTACACTTGGGAAAAAAATCATCAATAGTTACACCATGTACTTCAGTTGTAATTTAAAAAAATTTACAAAAATTTCTATTAAAAACTGTGATAAAATATTAAATAAAAGTCATTATCGAACCAAAGTACGTAATTAAAGTTTCCTTTTTTTTTAAATAAATAGAATAAAATAAAGACATTTTGAAATTACAGGGAAAATGGCCAAGGCAAATTTTATCAGCGATTCAACCGACAGGTAAAATTCATTTAGGAAATTATTTGGGTGCTATTAAAAAATGGGTTGAATTGCAAAATTCTGAAGAGAAATCAGTGATCTTTGCAGTTGCAGACTTGCACTCTATCACTTTGCCTCAAGTATGAATTAAAAAAAAAATAATATTACCTAATGATTGGTTTCTGATAACGTAAACCATACCTTGAAGTTTATTTTCTTTCTCAGGATCCGGTTGAACTTCATAATAATATACTTTCCACAGCTGCAACAATTTTAGCATGTGGTATTGATCCTAAAAAAAGTATTTTTTTCCAACAATCAACAGTTAGTATGATTAAATAAATATTTTAAAAAAAAAAAAAATTTCTTAAAATTACATTAGTGATAGTAATAATTTTAATAGGTACCACAACATGCTCAATTATGTTGGATTCTTGGTACTCTTAATACAATGTCTAAATTAGCACAAGTACCTCAATTCAAAGAGAAATCTCAATCACTTAAAGATATTCCAATTGGGTTATTTTTATATCCAATTTTACAAGCTGCCGATGTCATGTTATACAAGTATGAAATTTTCCATCTAAAAAGTTGTAATTTATCATTTTAAAAAAAATTTCAATTAATTCCATTATATTTGTTTTTGATTATAGAGCAACTCATATACCTGTTGGAAAAGATCAAATTCCTCACATAGATTTAATAAATCACCTGACAAAATTATTTAATAATCGTTATGGTGAAATGTTTCCAGTAGTCGATGCCTTAGTAGGTAGGAATACATAAAACAACATTTTAAAAACTAAAAATTACTACAAGTAAACAATATTAGTAACTCATAAAATTCATTTATCTGTTGTATTGAATTTGATTTTTTGTAATTAAAATCTTTAAAAACCATTTTAGATGAAAAAACCTGTAAAATTAGAAGTTTACAAAATGTCGATAAAAAAATGTCAAAAAGCGATAAAAGTCAAAAATCATGTATAAATTTATTAGATACTCCTGATGAAATTTTATTTAAATGCAAAAAAGCTGTATCTGATTTTCAATCTCAGTAAGTAAAAATTTTCAATTATTTTGCTTTTGAAAATAATAATAAATAAAACACAATCTATTTTTTTTTTTTTTTTTGAAATTTAGGTTGACATATGAGCCAGAAAAGCGACCTGGAGTAGCAAATTTAATAAATATTCATTCTAGCATAATGGAAAAAACACCTGAAGACATAGTGAATGAAAATTCCACTCTTGATGTAGGACAATACAAATTAATTCTAGCAGAAACAATAATAGAACATTTAAAGCCTATAAAAAGAAAAATTGATGAGTATTTGAATGCTCCTGAATATTTAAAAGCATTATTGGATGATGGTTCGATGAAAGCTCAAGAAATAGCAGAAAATACGTTAAAAGAAGTTAACAGTAAAATTGGGTTCACTTTGACTAATTTTAAAAACAAAAGCGCTACAGTAGAATCAGTCATTTAAATTATACATGAAAAAAAAAAAAAATTTTTGAAAATATAATAATTATTACTTATTAAAAACACTCAAATTATTTTCTTTAAGATTTTTAAATTCCTAAACATAAAACATGTTTAACTTATAACAACAACTTTATCGTTATAACTTAAACTCATCATTGATAATCGGGAACCAATTACTTTTGACTTTTTTTTTTTTTTTTTAAATTAAAAATAAAGCAAAATTTTTTCATGTTGTAGTTTTTCTTAGTAAAAAAAAAACATCTTAATTATATATTAAATACTTAAATAAATTAGTGCTAAACTTTTGTGTATGTAAAAGAAAACCTCATCCAATAAAATTCACTTCTTAGTAAAGTCTACAACCACTTTTCCTCTCAAGTGACCATTTTGCACATGTTTGTAAGCTTCTGGTAAATCGGAAAAATTGTATGTTTTTTGAATGTTTGGTTTAATCTGAAATTAAAAAATTGTTACATTTTAATATTTATTCCTTAGTATTTTATATGTGATGTTCATTGATTAAAATTACTTTTCCATTATTAACATCTTCAGTAATTTCTAATAAAGCTGTTTCGAGGGGAATGAAAAATCCCCATCTTACTGATGATGTTTTAGGTAAAACTCCAGTATTAAAATTAACTAATATCAAATCAGCCGCATTTTTCATCATTCCACCAATCATTCCATATTCATCAATATTTTGAAGCATTGGTGACTTTAAAGTAATGTATTTTGAAAATTTGTAATCTTTTAAGCATTTGACATAAAATGCAGCATTGTTTTGTCCAATACCAGCACAGTCTAAAATAATGTCATACCTAAAAAAAAACAATAAGTGACTAAGGAATAATTTTTTTTTCAAAACTTTACTTTAACAACATTATTAATGTAATCTGAAAATTCTTAACTTGAGATCCAGATATTATAATGAAAATAAATAATTTTTTACTTACTTATGCTTTTGAATTTTTTCAAAAGAATCTTTTTCTTTATAATTAATTATTTCGTTTGCTCCCAATGATTCAACCAAAGGGATAGCATCTTCGCTACAAGTAGCTACTACATAACCTCCCCAAGATGAAACCATTTGTACTGCAACAGTTCCAACTCCTCCAGATGCTCCTAATATTAAAACGTTTTTTCCAGCGATTGGAAATAAAGCTGAACCACCAGTTATTTTTAAAGCTGACCAAGCTGTAACAGCTGAATAAGGTATGGATGCAGCTTCTGTTGCAGAAATGTTATTAGGTTTTTTCTTAATCTGCTCGAACAATACAAAGTTTTTTAAAAATTTTTTAAAATTTAATATGGCCTAGTTTAAAAAATATTTAAATAAAAATAAAATTCAAAGTATAAAACTAGTAAATAGTTTTTAAAAAAAATTATTATTATTTTAACTTACACAATTTTTTGATACTAAAACTTGTTCAGCATGACAGCCTTGCTCTTGAACTGGAACTACTCCCCAAACTTCATCACCGATTGAAAATTCATCTTTAACATCATGACCTTTTTGAATAACAATCCCTGAAAAATCTCTACCCAATGTCAGTGGAAATTCTAAAGTTTCTTCTAGGCTACAACTTTTAGCCTGCCTCATGAAATTGAGCAAAACAGAACCGTAACCAGCTAAAAAAAATAAATTTTACCAAAAATAAATTTTAAAATTAAAATTTGTTAGCTTCAAGGTAATTATAAAAATATTTTCTTTAAAAAATAAGAAACTTATATCGTACACACACATCATAGCCACATCAATGGGATTCACTGATGCCGCTGATACCTGTACAATAACATCATTCGGATTTCTAATAACAGGTATTCTAGAATTTGTTAATTGTAATTCTTCAAGACCTCCGTAAGAATGAACTTGCCACGATTTCATTCTTCCATAATTATTTTTTTCTTTAGCGTTTGCAATTGTTGAAAAATTAAATTTCATATATAAACTTTTTTTTTTTAATCGACAAAAAATGTTAAAAGACATTGTAACAGCAATACACAGTATCTCGATAGCAAAATATAGTTTTATACGTGAATAAAAAAATTTTTAAACATTATTGAAAATGTACCATATTATAAAATATATAATTATTAAAATAAAATTATAAATCAGTGCTTAAAATAAATTAAACAAAAGTTTTTTTCCAAGTAAAAAATTAACGTATATAAATGTAAACAGCACATTCTTGACTATTGCAATATATGAGCATAACTTTATTTACTCTATGAAAAATTTCAAATAACTTATTTGAAATCCTTTCCAAGTTAAAATTTAAATAATTTAACAATTTAAAAAAGTACTTTTAAGGATAAAAAAAACTTAAATAAATTTAATCAAAAAGAATTAAATGACTTTTTAAAAAAAAAAAATTTTCAGTTTAATACTTATTACAGTCAGTAAATTACTTTTGATTAAAAAAGAAATCAAAAATAATCATTTGTGTAAAAAGTTATAATTATTGTAAACTTTATAAAAACAAATTATAAATTAATATATTTTTATAACGTCATTTATTTCCTCACTTTTCCATTCACCCATTTTTTGTACGTTAAAAGGACTATCAACCCAACTCCATTTAGGAACAGGTACAAACCAATCTGGACCATAATTGGCTTTTATGTATTCTTCAGTCTTACAAGGAATTCTCACCTTCAAATCTAAAAATTCAGTCCAACAAAGTGTGAATTTAGGAAATGTATACCTGAAAGTAAAAAATTTTTATTGTAGATAAAGAAACAAATACAAGAACGAAAATAAAATAAAATTTTGAATAAATAAAAATATTACTTGTATTTGTAAGCCCCTAAAGTAGTGGTATTTTTTTTAAATACTTCATGTCCTCCATTCCAATAATATTGACCATCATCGTAGAAAAAGAAAATATCTAATTTAATTTCATTGAGAATGAAAGACAATTCAAAACCTTCATCTAATCGACCAAATCGATGTTTTAGTTTCATATGAGCAGCTTCAAAGCTTGGAATCAAATCCTCTTGATAATCTTTAATGAATACTCCAATATCAACATCACCAGCATAAGGAATTACATCACATTGCCTAAAATAACCTAAAATTTCCAAAAATAATTTAATTTTTTTCATTTTTCTTTTTAATAACACACCATTAAAACTTAAAACAAATGCAAAATATTAATTAGCAGTTTAAAAAAAGTGATACAGTAATTAACGATTAAGTCAATTTTAACTAATGCTGCTACTTGAATAATTATAAAGACAAAAAAATTTCTTTAACTTATTGACAATCATATTGTGGTGGTTGTAAATAAAAAAATAAAAAAAATTAAAGAACTTTTCTAATGCATAAAAAATAATTTTTAGTGAAACACAATGCATTCATGTTAATCGTGACGACATAAATTTGAAGTGACGTTTTATTACTTTGATCGATTACTATGCAAACACTAAAATCATGCATGGAGCACCTTTTACTATTGGGTCACTTTTCTTACCCAACAATGTTCCACTGCTTATCCAAAAAGGAATTTGTAAATTATCAAGTACAGTTTTTGCTGTTGATAAAATTTTACGAACTTTATGAGTAAATCTTATGGCTCTCGGAGTTGTATCTTTGCCATAAGTACGAAAAAATTTGTCTGCTAATTCATAATTGCATTCTATAAAATAAGTTGATTCTTTTAAAAACAAAGGTATATTTTTGGGTACATTCACCTTAATATGATCAATATAAACAGATTTAAATTGAAATTTATCCAATGCTCCTTCTTTACCCAAAACAAGATCATTTTTAACCTTGGTTATTCCAAGATTAAAAAGTTTCGAATTATACTGAGGATCTTGATAAAATGAGCCATGCCACCAGAAATCACCCTGAAGTGAAAATTTTTATCGGAAAAATCTTTTCGTTTATTTCATTATTAAATTAAATTATTAAAAATATTCAACCTCTCTTTCGTGAAGAAGAACAATTTCAACAATGACAGATCCTTCATTTTTTTGAAGAATAAATCCCAATGGCAAATTAGCATGATGTAAAGAAAATTTTTTTGGCACTGAACTGATTATATTTTCTACCCAAAAACCAACTTCCCATGCTCTTAAAATAGGAAGCAAAATATGCTCCTAAAAAAAAATAATAATTATTATTATTTATCAATTCACTAAAACATTTTAGTGATATATTTTCAAACTTACTTCCACAGATGCATTAGTTGGACATAATAAAGCAAAAGTTACAGGTTTATTTTTTTGAACGTGGCAAAAAAAGCAATCATCTTCTCGAGTGCTGCTGTTATATGAGTTAAGATCTAAATAAAATTTAAGCATTCGTTTATCAATGAGAAAAAGTCTTTCTCCTAAAATTGGAGCTTTGTCAAATAGACTTTTTAAATAAGAAGGCGTTTCACTATTTTGTACAGAGTTAAAAAATTCACTACTTATAGAACGTAAAATAAATATTTCAAAAATAAAACACCAAATAATAGAACATCCAAAAAGCAAAAATACAAGATCTCTTCTCCTCATTTTACTCATCAATATTTTATTTATTAAAATTTTTTTTTTTTCAACTTTTTAATCTTGACCGTTTCATGTTGGAGTCTATATTACACTTATATCAAATTACTCTTATAAACTTACTTTCTAGTTACACGTTTGGCGGGCTTTTTGACAGTTAAAATAACAACAAAAATTAGTTGTTAAATTTGAAATTAGACTTAAAACCCTTTTGAGAGGAAGTACATTTTTTTTTCCGTTAAATAATTTATATGCAAAAAATAAATAAATTTTTTCTAGTTTTTTATTCACAAATTTTATTTAATTCTAACCATTTATTTTCTAAATTTTTCAAAAAAATTTGAGCTGTATTGAAATCAGGCACTGCTTTACATATTTTTTTCAACATAAAAAACACGGGTATGGGATTAGGACAACTTATTTTTGTATTTTCAAAATTTTCTATTTCATTTCTTAAAGAATTTAATAAATCTTTATCTTTAAAAATTTCCTCTTCTAAATTTAATAAATTTTCAGAATCGTTATTTTTTAAATTATTATTATCGTTACGTACTTTTTCGCCGCTCGATTCCTTTCCCACATTCATTTCGTAAATATCACGATCGACTGATTCACTTTCTAACGTTTCACTATCAGGGCTGCCATTTTTTAATATTTCAGGGCTGCCATTGTTTATTATTATTGTTTCATTTATTCCGTTGTTGTTTTTTTTAACATTTTCCAATAAATCATTATTATTTTTGGCACTCGGCAATTTGTTTCTTATGTAAAGGTCTTGATTTTTCATCAAACGTTTTTCACATACTTCGATTTCGATTAAATTTTTAAAATATTTGTAACTATTTTCCGTTAAAAAGCTATCGGCCATTTTATCTAAAACGTTCATCCATTCCGTAACGTTGTCTTCGGTAACATTATTACTTAAATGTCTAACAATGGCGGCACCGAGAAATTCTTTCAAACTACTCAATTTTAATTTGTAACTGTCATCATCTAATAAACCAGAGCATTCTTCGCGAATAAAGTCGGAAAGACGTAACCATTTGCATAAATTAAATAATGCATCATCGGTCTCATTTTCCGAATTTTGAATGTAACGGTAACACGTGCTGAGTCCCCTGATAATGTGAGTTATTTTTTTATTTTTGTCCTTGCCGCAAATCGCCATTGATAATTCTTGTGTTAAAATAACGAACATCTGAAACCGTTAAAAAAGACTTACTTAAAAATCCATTTTCGAAATTTTCGAGATGATTTTTTTTTTTTTTTTAAATACGTACATCATTTTTATTCTTGTAAAATTCCTTCGATTGATAAAGTTGAGGTAAAGATGGAGGAAAAATTATTTCGGATGAATCGATCAAATTGTTTACGTGAACAAAAATGTCATTTTCTAAAATCAATTCTTTTTTATCGAGCAGCGAAATCGTTTCGTAAACGTGATACATTAAACTCAAATGCTAATTAAAAAAAGTAAACAATAATTATTAAAGAAAAAAAAAAAACTTTGTGGAAAACGAGCAAAATTGTTATTCTTACCTTAAGATCACTGTGATCACAACAAATTCTACGAGCCAAATCCAAATTTTTTATTTGTAAACATTTAATTAAACCTTTTGTCGCTTCCAAAAGTTCCAATTCGTGGCAGCCATATTTTTTTGCAGCCAAAGCAGCAAGACTCAAATATTCAGGTTTATTTTTTTTCCCAAAAATTTTTGCAACTTCTTCGTAATTATTCAGATATAAGTAACTGAAATAAAAATATATTAATAAAAAAAAAAAAAAAAATTATTTTCTTTTTTGTATAAAAAATTAAATTTTAATTTCAGTGAAATAAATATTTCAAGCTAAGTCTGATTTACCATTCGCACGCTCTTAAGTAGGATCCATTTTGAAATAACCACTGAGCATATTTTTCAACGATTTTAGACATTATTGGATCTGTGCTAGGTAAACGATTTTTTACGATGCACAAAGCTTCTAAAAATAATTTTTCCTCCACCAGTAAATCCACAGCTTCGTAAACTTTATGACAGGCGATCAAATACGTGGCTGCTTTGTGATAAAGTTTTTTTTCCCTTAAACTTTTCGAATAAGAAATGCAGGCTTCTTGCCATAAACGAGGTGAAACAGTTGGAACTATGGACATTAAAAAATCATTGAGTTGTCCGGTTTGAATCCTTTCTTCTATCACATCTTTAATATTTCCGGTCCAGAGTGAGAGTTCGTAGTACTCCGTCAAATTATTACTATTTCTTTGAGATTTTACTAAAAAATAACGTCGAAACAATTATTTAAATCATCAGTCGTCATATTATAAAATAAACAAATCAAATTATTAAAATATATTTACATTCTGAATCAATTACGTTCTTATAATCCTCGTTATCGCATAAAAAAGATAACGAAAATTGTGATGTTTCTTTTTCTTTTAAAATAGAATAACAATTACTAAATTCGTCGTTGGAATTGTCCTTCCAAGCTTTCGAAAACATTTTGACGTTTTTACTTATTTTTACTGTATTTTTTGTTTCGGCGATGGAAAAATTTAAATTTTCATTTTCCTCTTCTTTCATTATTACATCCACGACATCTTGAGAACAATCGCTAATATCTTTCATTTTAATATTTTTGTCTTTTTTTTTCTTTTTTGATTTTACAAGAGCTGAAGGCTCCGTTTTGGTTTGAATTGAAATTCTCCATACTTCCAAAATACTATTACGGTAACCTGCGTAAAATTTAATTGTCTAAATATTAAATGTTAAAAATAGTAAATATTCCCTCGTGTAAGACGAAAATTTTGTTACCGGTGAATACGATATCGGGATTTGTTGGACTCCACATTGAAAATAGAGGAATATTAACCGAGTTGTAATTCACAAGCGGAGTTTGCGTTAAAACATCCCAAATTTGAACGGAACAATCAACGCTACTCGATATTAGTCTACCACCTAAATGAGGACTCCAGGAAATATGTTGTATATGACCAAAATGTCCTTTTAATGATGCTATTCGCTCAACTCTAACGGCAGATCTTTCCTTTATGTAGTTAAATACTCGGATTTCATTTTCGTTGTCTGTAGAACCCGCGGCTAAATATGTGTGATATGGAGATATGCCTTGAATAAGACAGATAAAAAAAGATTAAAAATTTTAAAAAGTTGATTTTTATGAATAAAATAATGGTTACCCTTATCCACTGAGGTAGATATTGGATGCCATGCGATTGATTGAACTAATTTGTTATAGGCGAGTAAGGTATATACAACTTGAAAATCTGCAGGGTCTATAAAGTAAATATGGCCCTGTTTATCTCCGATGGTTAACACTGAATGATCAGGTTTCCAAGCTATATCAGTCTGTGCTTTACATGATACCGGCATCATTTTGCTTAAATTAAGTGCATCTGATAAATATATAAAAAGTGGTGAACAATTCTAATTCTATTTTTTTTTTGTTAAACTAATATAATAAAATAATAAATTACTTACCTGCGCCTGATTCTAAAGAGTTGTAAAGAAACACGGTGTCACCGCCAACACAGTAAAGATCAAAATCTTTATTTGAAGAATTGACTTCACTTCCCCATCGAGGGCCCCATGATAAATTATAAATCGGTTGAGTATTACTAGATTTGAAAACTATAGGCATTTTAACTGAATTTGTATCAATTAATCCGACTCTTCCGAGTGAAGTTCCATAAGCCAACAAACCATCTCTAGTTGGATGCCAAGATAAAGACATTACCCTGTCTAGATCGATAAAAATTATTATTATTATTTTTAATCAAAATTAATAAAAATTAGTTTATTTAAAACTAATTTTTTTACCTTTAATTTTCTGCCAAAATACTTGAATATCACCACAAGGTTGTAATAAATTCCACAGCCTTATTACACCATCTCCTGCAGCTATGGCAATTTTATTTATATCATGAGGAGAAACGACAGCAGCATAAACTGGACCATTCAAAGTATGAAAATTATAAACTATTTCTTTCAAAGAATTTTCTTTTTTAAAAGCTACAAGTTTACGATCCTGTCCAGCAGTCCATACCTAAATTTTATATGAGTAAAATATAATATGAAAATAAAAATCAATTGCAATCTTGAAATAAAAAGAGAAAATTACCAAAGAATTATTTTCTGAAGTTTTTACTTTCCACTTTACAATTTCAGAGTCATTATTTATAAAACTTAATTTTGTTATATGTTTTGCATTTGATTGGGTTTTAAATTTTATATCAGATTTAATTTCTAAATCTGTATGTAATATAATATTTACATCTTCAAAATTTTGAGCTCCAGCTATGGCAAATAATGCTTTCGAATGAAAGTGATGTTCGATTTTTAAAAATTGTAATAATGAATTATTGATTTTCGATTCAGAGGTTTGCGACTCTTTATTTACAAAAAGCCATATATCAAAAAACAATAGTTCACCAAAATTTGATGAAAAATACAGTGTGTAAGCATCATGCCAATAAACGACTAAAGAACTAAAATTATTTCCATAATTTAAATTACTATTTTTTTTCGATTTTAGACTTTTGGGAACTTGAAATTTAATTTCACTCTTTCCGTCACTTCCAGCCCTCCAAATGTAAATTTCTCTGTTTAAGCACCCGGATGCTAAAAGAAATTCTTCAAAAATATCTGTAGCTTTGAAAACATTATATGAAATTGGACACCAACTGAGAGATTGTATTTCTTTATCATGACCTCTTAATTTATAAATAATATCTCCTTTTCCAACCAAATTAATTATATAAATCAACCCAGATTTCAACCCCACAGCTACTATTTTTTCATTATGAGGACAACAAGCGAGTACTGTGGGAAATAACCTTTGAAATGAAAATTTTACTGTTGTATTTGATAGAACATCCCACACTACCAGTGAACAATTGTCTGCAGCAGAAACAACAATATTAGGATTAGCTAAACTCCAATCTAAGCAAATGATTTTCCCACAAGGCTCGTTGGGCTCCTAAATTAGAAATACATAAATTATAAAAATAACTTTGAATTGAAAAATATTTAAAAATATTATAAAATACTTTTAATATTATTACCCAATGTGATCTATTTCCTAAAGTGGCAGTTAATGTATCAATTTTCCACAATTTTGCATAACCATCTTCAGAGCAACTTACAATTGTATTACTCAAATTTGTGTGGCAATTTGATGGGGAAAATGCAATCGAAGTGACTCTAAAACAATTTAATAATAATAATGATAAAAATAAATAATATTACATTATTAAAAATTACTCTAATACTTTTACCATTTTTTTTTTTTTTTTACCTTTCTTCATGGGCACCTTTAATAATTAAGGTATCAAATGTTTTTTCTGGTTTAATTTTCAAAATTACTATATGATTTTTTGAACCGTAACAAATACATCCATCTTTCCTACAGGCAAGAATATTTGTTAAAAGCCAAGTTGGAGATGGAGGAAATGTAACTTCATCCATTAATGAATAATGTTCTGAATCCAATAATCCCGTAATTCACAAAAAATTACTAACCAATATTTTCGATTAACTAAAATTTTATTAATTAAACAAAACACTCTAATAAATGAACACAATTAAAAGAAATATTAAATTTTTTTCCGTTAACTGTTATTTCACAATTATGGCATTAGCCGCAAAATCTGTCGTCAAATACCTCATAAAGAACTAACTTAAGGTTTTATGAGTATTTGTCAATTTGTAAAAAGTAAAATAATTTTTTTTCTAAAAAGAAATATTTTAAATTGGAAATAATACTGTACAATATAATATAAATGAAAATTATAAAAAAAAAAAATTATAAAATATCGTAGATTTTATTGTAAATTACTGTTAAAACATGTCTCACAAAGTTTTACCTTAGAATAAAAACTCACAAAAATTTTTATATCTATGACTTCTTTAAAAAACGAAAAAGGCGGTAAAATAGATACAATCACAAAATAATGACCTGGATCCTTTAAGATCTGGCAAAATTTATTTATATTTATTTAAAAAACTAACAATTTTATTACATTTTTCTTTTTTTTAAATTTATTTAAATTAAAAATAATTATTTTACTAACAAATGTTTCTTCGTTTTAGTTTTCTAAATAAAAATATACTCTGAAATATTACGTCTGATAGTTTTTTTTTTTTTTTTTTTTTTTAAAAACAATTAAAATGAAAAAAGAAGAAATTTGTGATATAAAAATAGAAAGTGTTTCCGACAGCAATACAATAAAAAATAGCAATTATGAGATTGATAATAATCTTAATTTTGATACAAAAGTCTTATCAGAAGATAAACAATTAGGAAAAAATGATGTAGATTTTATTCAACCAAAAAAATATGAAAATTCTCAATTGACACCAAAGAAAAAAAGAAAATTAGAAGAAGAATCTGATTTTAAAACACCGGAAAAAAAAATTAACATTGCTAATAAAAACAGTGAAACAAGTTATAATTATTCTAATGATTATTTCAATAAAGATTGTGAGAAAACGGAAATTTCAGGAAACAATATTCAATTGTCACCATCTCGAGTTGAACAAAAGAACAATGATAGTGAAAAAAAAGACAAAACACCTCCTAAAAAATCTATTTTAGAGGGGAAAAAAGATGAAAATAAAAGTGATGGTTTTTTCAATGATGAAGGAATGATATCAGAAATTGAACAAGCTAGACTTTTAATGGCTGCAAATGAAAATTATTTTAAAAGTTTGGAAAAAACTCCCGTCAAACAGAAAACCTGTCAAAATTATCAAAGTCCACAAAATTCATTAAAAAACTCACCAAGAACACCTGGAACACCTGGAAGATATAAAAGAGCAGAATTAATTACCTTAGCTAGCCCTAAAGCAAAAAAACTTAAAACAGATTTTAATTAATCTAATAAGTAATAACTTTTATGTATCGAAATTTTTTTTTTTTTTATATTTTGTATAATTTTTTACTGCATGTTTTTTTTTTTTAAATCTCGATTTTAATTCAGAATAAATTTATATATATATTTATTTTTTAAAAAAAAAGAAAACCATCATTTTTTAATTTTTAAATATGATTATTTTCAAATAATTGTAAAATTATTGATATTTTATTTTTTAATGAAATTAATTAACAGTTTTTTAAAAACTTTTACTTCGATAAAAAATTTTTTTTAAAATGTTATCCCTGTATGAAATACTTTAATTTATTTATCAACAATAAATTATTATTTACCGATAAAAGAAAAAAATTTTTTCTAATATAAATACTGTTATTGCAGCAATTAATCCTAATCCTAAAACAGTCAAAGCTGGTTGAACATCTTTCATTGTAAAACTTAAAAAATTTGATAATTTTGATTTTTCTTTAATCGTGCAAAGTGGTTTCATGTTGAAAATTTTTTTTTTCTCTCTGTTAGCCAAACCTGTATGCAGTAACTTTAATATGCTAAAACAAAAGAAAACTCGCTTAATTAAACATAATCATTAATGATTTAGATTATTATGATTACTATTTTATTCATGCCTGATATTAATCTTTTCATATTTGTCAAAAT